TTCTTTATGTTGAGGTGTAATCCATACTGAAGGCTGTAGTCTTTGATCTGCATCAGTAAGTGCTTCAAGTCCTATTCACTTTTCAGCAAGCAAGGTTGTGTCATCTGCATAATGCAGGTTGTTAATGAGTCTTCCTCCAATCCTGATGCTGCATTCTTCTTTACGTAGTCCAGCTTCTCAGATTATTTGCTTAGTATACAGATTGAATAAGTATGGTAAAAGGATACAATGGGAATTCCAGAACACTTAATTGTGCTCATGAGGAACCTGTACATGGATCAAGAGGCAGCCATTTGAACAGAACAAGGAGATACTGTGTGGTTTCAAGTCAGGAAAGGTGTGTGTCAGGGTTGTATCCTTTCACCATACTTATTCAATCTGTATGCTGAGCACCTTATCTGTAATTAATTAAAATATTTTGCTGTGATTGTAAATGAAATGATATATACTCTTTGCAATTATCTAGACCTAGAAAGACTCGAACATTTTAATGTTAAAGAATAAGATGTTCTTTCAAGGTCTCGCAGATGGTCTAGTTCTGTTAGAGTTTAAGGACTAGTCTTTTAGCAGAGATGCTAAAACCTAGATGTTCTTGAGCTATGAGTGTTGGTTTATTTAGGAGAGATAATTTAGCAGAACTAATGTATACTATTAGTTCTGCCCTTAGACCTAAGTAAAAGGGGCTCCAGCCCTAGATCCTTCATTTTAGATGGGCACGCTCCGGCTGTCATTTGCCCGCACCCCTCCCACAGGGTAAGGATTCAGAGGGGGGCAAAGGAAAGTATCTACCTGGATGGTGCCCACCTGTGCCCATGGGATTGGGACCTCTAAGTTCTCTGCCTAAATGCTCTAAGCCTGATTCTAGACACTATGCCTCTTCCCTAGGTCCATTAGTGTGTATACCCATAGGCCTTAATGTGTGGGCTGGGATGTCCCAGATGTGTTCAAGGTACCTCAAGGTTCATAATGGAGCCAGGAATGGAAAGAGAAGGAGGATGGGCCAGGAATGAGGGGCTGGGGCCAGGAGCTGGCTCTCCCCCAGCCACATTTCAGTACAGAATTCCAAGGAGTTCCAAGATTTTAAAATTGAGCCCTTCTAAATTGTTATGGAAGTATATTTATCAAGGTAGGAGAATAGCATATATTTTATTTAACAGTTTGTTCATTTATAACTTTAAAATATTTAGATGTAGGGTATGCAGGCCTTTGTGTATATACTCTTGACTCAGACCCCATAAATATTAGGGGAGGGCCTGTGTACAAATCAATTACAATAAGTAATTAGTCAGTTGATTTGTTTATTAGAAGACATATCTGAACTTTGTGGATTGATACATAAGGAAAGTAAATGACATTTGAGAAGGCTACTTAGAAAATGTAAAATCATTGTTTATGTCCTTCATTTATAAATGCTAGGATGTTCTCTTTCTCTCTTCATCAGGTGAAAGGCCCTAACATTGGGCTTCTTGGCTTCTCCAAAGGAGGTGACCTGTGTCTCTCAATGGCCTCCTTCTTAAAGGGCATCACAGCCACTGTACTTATCAATTCCTGTGTGGCTAATACAATAACTCCTCTACATTACAAGGATATGACTATTCCTAGTCTTGGCAATGACCTAGGGAAACATACAATCACTGAGTCAGGCCTTATGGATTGTGTGAATATTTGGAACAACCCACTGGAGGAACCTGACCACCGAAGTCTCATTCCACTGGAAAAGGCCCAGGGTCCCTTCTTGTTTATTGTTGGCAAGGATGATCATAACTGGAAGAGTGAATTCTACGCTCATATAGCCTCTGCATGGTTACAAGCCCATGGGAAAGACAGACCCCAGATAATCTACTACCCAGGAGCTGGTCATTGTATTGACCCACCTTATTTTCCTCCTCGTATTGCCTCAGTGCATGCATTTTTGGGCCAAGCAATGTTCTTTGGAGGTGAACCAGGGGCTCACTCAAAAGCACAGGTGGATGCCTGGCAGCAAATTCAAACTTTCTTCCACAAACATCTTGATGGTAAAAAATCTGTTAAGCACAGCAAAATATAATCATAGACCAGATACGATTAATAAAAATTCTATTCATACAATATGTGTTGGATTTTCCAGAGTAGTTAGGAACCTTTTTGTAATGAAACAACCATCTCAATTTCTTTGTTAGATCCTAGGATTCTCAACCTTTGCAATACACCTTTCATCACTGCTACCACCCCTACCCCACTCACACCCCTATCACCCCCAAGCTTTACTCAATGTATAGGTTTAACCCTGATCTTATCTGTAGGACCAATCTTAACCTTAAGCAGGAGAAATTAAGGAGTGCTTGCCCAACTCTCAAGATGCCTGGTTGGTACACACAGTTTGTGCCGGTCTAGTAACCTAAATGTTGGTAGTTTGAATCCACCTAACGGAAGAAAGGCCTGACAATTTTTTCTGTAAAGATTACAGCCAAGAAAACCCAGTGGAGCAGTTCTGCTGTGTAATACATGGGGTTGCCATGAGTTGGAATTGACTCAACAGCAACTCCCCCCGCTCCCCAACTCTCAGTTGCTGGCCTTGCTTCAGCCTTCTGTGCCAGTTCTGAGGACTGAGCTTTTGAATTGCTCTGAAATCCCATATCCGCTTTGGGTCCTAACTGTCCATGTCTGAACCTTGGAAACCTGTCCACTTTAGTCCTTTAAAGAATGGACTCTGCCTCATTCTTGCCAATACACATCCCCGGATATATCCTCAACTTGTCCCTGAACCTCAGTCTGAAGATTGGGGGTCTTTAACCTGCTAATATACTTCCTGTATGTTTACCATCTGTATGGATTCTCAGTCACTATATGGTCCTACCTGCCTAGATGACTGCCTTGATGCTATTTTAACCATCTTTAGCATCTTTAGGAGTCCCTGGGTATATATATATGTGTGTGTGTGTGTGTGTGTGTATATATATATATATATATATATACCCACATATACGTATATATATATATATATACCCATATATACGTATATATATATACACACCCATATGTATACCTATATACCTGTACCTGTGGAGTCGATTCCAACTCATATATATATACCACATTTTGTTTATCCATTCATCTGTTGATGGATACTTAGATTGTTTCTACCTTTTCGCTGCTGTGAATAATGCTTCAATGAACACTGGTGCAACTCTAAGCATATAAAATACACGTTTTTAATAATTGTGCCAGCCCCAGGACAATCGCAATTATTTCTACCAGGTATACATCTGCAGTGCAGCTTTCTCAATGAAAAAGCAAAACTTGTAGGAAAGCAGATAACACAACCCTCCCTTCCCCTCACCCCTCTATCTGGGCTGGTTTTAGGGCATTCAAACCAGGGAAGTTTCTCTCCACTAGTTTCCACCCGCAATTCCTGTCATTTTATAGTTTAATTCAATGCCTCATCTGAAACTTTTAACCTTTAATTTTGACAGCCGTTCTTAATTCGGCAAGGATTATTTCATACCTTTTCAAGGGAGAAAAGTGTAATTTGGCAGGAGCCTGGAACACGTGGCGTCCTTAAAACAGGTTAGGGAACAGTGTCCCCTGGTGGCCAATATGGGATTTCAGAGAAGGCGCCTGGCCAGCATTATCTGTCAGAAATCATTAACTTCTCATTCTCGATGTATCGAGGGTAGGCTGGGGATGAACTCTTGCCTTCCTCAACCGGTTCCGCCAGGGCACCTCCAAAGCCACGACATACCCTGGGTCTCCTAAGTCGCCTCTTCTCCTAGCCCTTTGCTTGCCCAGGCCCTCTTGCTCTCACCGACCCGGTTCGCCCCGCCGGCCCACGCCCTTTCTGGCCACGCCCTGCCTACCTGCTCCTCCTGGTCTTGCCCGAGCCGGCCCTGTCCTCCTCGCTGGGCCTGCCCAGTCTCGCCCCATCCAATCCCGCCTGCCCCTGAGCGCTGATTCTCAGTCTGTACCGCGCCAGGCCGCGTCCTGTCAAAGCTGCAACGATCCTAACGCCACGTGGCGGGTGGCCTGGGCCGCTCTCCGAATCCTCGGCGCCCCCTCCATCCCGGGAGATCGATGTCCACATCTTCCCTTTTCTCCCACAAGGCCGCATCCCTGACCGTCACGCCTCAGACGGAACTGGCCGGCGAGCTCCTGGATATCAAAGTGGAGGGCTTAGGCCCTGGGGAGCCGATGACCCTGCGGGCGTCGGCCGTCATCTACCGAGGTCGCCTCTTCCACTCGCTGGCCCACTACAAGGCGGACAGCTGCGGGGGGCTGGACCTGGCCAGGGACCGGGCTCTGGGCGGCGACTTCACGGGCGTGGAGCTCATGGAGCTCCTGTGCAGCCTCACGCCCGTGGGCTTGGAGGACCCCTGCCTCCGCCAAATGCCAAGGGGCGTGATGAAAAAACCCCTCAGAGTGGAGGTGACGGTCCACCGAACGTCGCGGCAGCCGGCAGTGCCGCTGGGCCCTGCGCTGGCCTCCGCCCAGGTGCAGCGCTGGTTCTCCACCCCGGAGCTGTGCTGCATTGGCTGCTAGCGGGCCGCCTGCGTGGCGTCTTCCTGCTGTCCCCGGGTGCGTGAGGTCTTTTCCGCAGAGGGCCTTGCCGCGGGCTTAGGAAAATGACTGGCTGGTTTGTGAAAGCTGGCTTGCTTTGCTAGCTAATTTGCCGTCTGAAAACAAACTGAGCTCTTTATTCCTTTATTTTGTCCCCCAGACATCAGATGAAACATTCATTCCTGTAAGTGGTGCCTAGAATCTAAATTTAATCTACTTGGGTACTCTTCTGTCAGCAGCCCACCGTCTAAACTCTTAAGTGCTGCAGAAAGTATTCCCTGTGTGTGCACACCTTGCATGTTTGCTGTACCAAGCATAACATTGCTGCAAATTTTCTAGCATTAAATGCGTGTATACCTATCTCTGCTAGGGAGAGCTTTGTGTTAATTTAGTTTTTCCATTACCATTTTTTTATAAAAATGAGAATAGTGGATACATGTCTTTCACTGGTATCTGATTAAGCCCCAAATTAACTGAAGTCATTATATTCTTCAATTTTTTATACTGGCTTAATGTTCGGATAAAGATGAGCTTTTTGTTGTTGTCTGACATATTCTAATATCTTGGAGACGTTCACCATAATAAGAAAAACTGTTTTGTTGCCCATTTCGTAGATCAAAGAACAACTTCCTTATTTTATAAATGAGGAAACTGAGGCCTGAAGTGTTTTCACCAAATCACACAAGCTAGGTGACACTGAAGTCAGGGTGTGATCAAACTCTTTGAGCTACAAGTTCTGGTCTTTAGAAACTCCATAAACACAAGCTGAGTGAATGAACCAACAAGTGAAATAATTAGATTTTTTATTTAAAAAAAAAAAAATCTACTCAGTTAGGCTCTGGCCTTATCACCTCTACTCATCCCTCACCCCCTCCCCCACATCCTTAGACATAACTAAGAATCTTTTAAAAGAGAGATTTTTAAACATTTTCATAGCTGTGGGGAAATATTTTCTTTGACATAGCCTATAATAAGATCCTAGCAGATTTCCATAAACCAAAAAACCAAACCCTGTGGAGTCGATCCCAATTGATAGTGACCCAACAGAACAGACTAGGACTGCCCCGTAGGGTTTCCAAGGCTGTAATCTTACAGAAGCAGACTGCCACATCTTTCTGCCACGGAGTGGCTGGTGGGTTTGAACCTCCAACCTTTCAGTTAGCAGCTGAGTGCTTAACACTGAGCCACCAGGGCTCCTTCAGATTTCTGTGCTGGGGTTTACATTACTGACTTGTAACAAAATAAACAAGAAATTCTCAGCCATTTTAATGTGGTAATCAAGTATTTTGAAGCCTGTGGTTGAAAAACTGTATTCCCCAAAAATGATGCAACTGATAACACTAAATAGAGTATACCGTGATTTGAGAGTCTGTATGTTAAGCTTTTCATGGTTTGCCTTAGGCTTTCTGGAACTACTCTTGAATTCAGAAATGCTTGAGATTTATCTAATTTTAAAAAGAGGCAGATCAAGATATGCTGAGATATCTGAATGCTAAGAAAATCACCTTGTAAAAATCAGTGTCTTCATATGTACACCTTTAGCTTTCATTTTGGTAGCTAGATGTGCTCTACCTTGTTTCTAGATTTGAAAATTTAGAAAGGCCTCTGGCACTGGAATTTTAGATCTCTTGATTTGTTTTCTGTCCTAATGTTCTTGCCTCTTATTCTGTTCTTATAGATTTATCTGACACTTTTACTTTATTTGGACTACACAGAGGCAAGAATCTGAAAAATACAAAGCGACAATTGACAGAAATTCTTCTCTTGTGGAATGGTGAACAGTACAATCTCAAATAGGAATGTTTAAAGAGAAATAACAGACCAACATTGAGAAGATATTACATTGACATTTTATTACCTTTCCACCCATATTGTTCACTTTATGTTATACCTTTATTAGACCTTTAAAATAGTTTAACCTTTATTTAACCATAGATTTTGGTGACTCTGACTGTATCTTAAATTCACTGAAAAGTCCAAGGCCCTTTAGAGTTGAATGCCCTTTTTTGAAATGATATATTATATTTTCATAACTCAAAGCCTACAGAACTGTTAGATTGAGCAGGACTTACACTGATAATGAAAACACTTCAAAGCAAAACACTTCCCACATCTTTGATGAAAATTTTCATAATTTTTTCCATTTCTTCGTGATTCCTCACAGGAAAAAACATAAAAATATTTTTACATTTTCAGCCTCAAAATAGCCCAAACAAGTGTCTATTTCAACCAAAGCAGATGTTTTCTTTTCAAAGCAAATAGGTGAATGTTTAAAAAAGATAAATTATACAATTAGACTTTTATTTAGAAAATGTTGGGTGTGTATGATAGGCCATTCAATGTTCTGTCAGCTAACCCAAGATTAATCCCCTTTCCTGGTTTATAGGAGATAGCCCTTTTCCTGGTTTGATTGATATGTTTGGTGAAGAAGAATTAAATGAATCTTGAGCGAGTCTTCGGGCTTGTCAAGATTTTGCTACTCTGGCTTTGCCATTTTTTGGCTATAAAGATCTACCTCCAATCATGAAGGATTTAGAGTTAGATTATATTATACCTTTGAGGAGGCAGCTAAATTTGTGCAGTCACTCAAAGGTGAGTGGGATAGCTGAGGGAAATGGGTTACAAACTAACTCATTAGGGCGAGAACAGAATAAAGTGGTACTAGAGGGTTGGAAAGTATCTGTAACAAATACTTGTTGAATTCATAAATAAATAAAAGACTATTGACCCCATTAACAAACATGCTTTCTTTTTCTTTATCTCTCTCCTTGTTTGTCTTCTTTTTCTTTAATCTGCAGGTCAAAGGTCCAAACACTGGGGTGACTGGCTCAGGTAAAGGGGCAGAGTTGGCGTTTTCCATGGCTAGCTTTCTCGCAAATGGAGCTTCGGTTGTGAGCATCAATGGCTATGTCTCTAACACAGCTACTGCCATTAGATGTGGTAGATTAATCCTGCCAGGACTTCCTTTTAACCTATACAAAGTCTCAGCCACTGATTCAGGAGCTTACAATGTTGAAGAAGCGCTGTGGACCCCTTGGATTCAGCCTATCAGGAAAGCCATGTTCCCCTTGAAAAAGCCAATACCCATTTCCTTTTTATCATTGGAGAGGATGACAGGCATTGGAAGAGCTCTGTTTATGCTGACATAGCTGTGAAGCACCTCACAGAGCATGGGAAAACAAATTTCACTTTCCTAAGCTACCCTAATGCTAGCCATAAAATAGATCCCCCTTATAGTCCTTTTTTCTCTGTAGCCCTGGATCCAGTATTGCATGTGCCCATTTTGGGAGGTGGGCAGTTCAAAGATCATGCTATTGCTCAGATAGTCTTGGAAGAAGATCTTGCAGTTTTTGCATTGGCATCTAGAGTGAAAGCTAACAAACTAGACAGTTACATTTAGAATATACCCAGAACAAATCAAGGGACAGACTTTGAAGAAAGACTAAACATGAATATTTTCAACAAATGATGACTGAGATCTGGATTCTCATGGGCATCTGCATGCTTTTAAAAGAAGCAAAAAATAGTTGCTTTAAGTTCACCAGAGCCTGTTGCTTTGGTACTATCCTCGTTTCTCCATGTTTGGTTTGTTTCAGCTTTAACTCAACATAATTGTTAAGTGAAAAACAGTTTTCAATCTGCCAGTTAACCCACCATCCCCACTTATCCTCTGGGTCACCTTCTCTACTTACAAAGGTTTTTAAAAACTGCTGGTGTATGATAATTAATTTACAATATCTGTCCCAGAGGGTTTAAAAATGTTCTGAACAGGAGTGAACACATGACTATAAGCCCTTGATTTTATGCTGATAAACCAACGGTTTGTGAAGGCTTTCTCATAATAGTCAGAGGCTAGAGAGAATTCTAGGAAGCTCTGGTGGTGCAGTGGTTAAAGCTGCTGCTAACCAAAAAGTCAGTGCTTCAAACCCACCAGCTGCTGTTCGGTAGAAAGATATGGCAGTCTCCTCCTGTAAAGATTAAAGCCTTGGAAGCCCTATGGGGCAATTCAGCCTTGTAAACCCGGTGGGACAGCTCTACTCTGTCCTATAGGGTCACTAGGAGTTGGAATCGACTCCACAGCAGCAAGTTTATTGGTAGAGTAAATTCTAAGAAGGTAACTCAGAGGCTAGTTGGTGGTAGACTGAGGTCATAGAATGCTTTCAGCTGTCAATCAGATTTTTATTTTTTTCCAGTTGCCACTCATTCCAGGATCTTTAGAGAAAGTAAGCCTAAGCTACTTGCCTTAAAAACAGCAATTATTGAGAAACACTTGCTTTGATTTTCTGTTCACTTATCTCTATTTTCGTACTTTAAAAAAACTTTCCTTCACAGTTTGTTTAGAAACTATATTTAACAACAAGCCATTTCCAGATTCAAGTCCCAAATTGATAATTACACACATAGACAATTTAATTATTTGAGGGAAAGTCAGAGCCCATCCCTTCCACCAAAAACTTTATTATTTATGGTGAACCTTAGATTATTAAAATAATTTTAATTGAAGTTCTGAGTTTTAATTTTAAACTTTAAAAATATGTATGGAGTTGAAGATGTTAAAATTCCTAATCCTCATCATAATTTAGTTTTGGTTTAGTTAGTGGGTTTTTTTTTTTTCATACTTGAGGAGAAAGATTAATAAGGTATTATTAGCCTTAGATTTTGATCAGTGGTTCTTGTGTTCAGTACTATACTATGGGCTCTTCCTGGTAGAGGGAGATGAAGTGTCATCAACCCAGTTTATCAGATTAAAGATTTTTTTTCCCTTAAATTAACGTTTTTAAATTGAATACAAGTTTCAAATTATTAACATCAACAAAAAGGTATATATGTGAATATATATGTGTGTATATATATACATGTATATATGTGAATATATATATGCATATTTATACACACACACATGCACACACACACATACTACCTCCTAATTTTTGGATTATTCATGTAAGATTTTAAAAAGAGGTTCATTTTAAAACAGACCAAAAACATAGTGAGGGAAGAAATGGGCTTTTTATCAACTATAATAGGAATCATAATTTGGGAAACTGACTATTGAAATCTGGTATAATACTCATTCTAATTTGAACTGATGAACCTCTTAATTATGTAAGTAAACTTAGGAATTAGTGGCTCTACTAGAGTTTAAGTTCTTTTTTAAGGTACGTAACTTTTAGCTATTTTGTGCAATCTCTAATCTGTTAAATGTGACAATTTTTCTTTTATTTAATCCACATTCTTGTTTAAATATTAAAGATTTCTTAACATATTTGGTTCTGTTTTCTATCATTTAACACCATTTTACCTAAACTTTTAAAAGGGCCTACTAGATTTTTTGAATTTTGGGAAACTTTTTAAAACTTTCAAATTTCTTTTACCCAGGCCTGAAATAAGAACAAATAGACCCAAAAGCATTTTCTCTGTTGAACAGCTTTTGAAATTATTTTGTCATTTTGCAGGATTTAAAAGAACAAAGAAAGGATCTAAGTTATATATATTTTTTCCCTATGTGAATGTTTCCACCTTTGAGAATCTGAAACGCAAAATGTACTTGATGGGAAATGTAGCAGGATATTGTGAATGAATTTCAGAGACAAGAAAATTTCTGATGATTTACAGTTTATGTAATAGTAAATATTTATGGTCAAAGTTTACCATAACAATTATTAGGAGGAAGTAGAAGTAACAGTTCTGAACATGAAGATAAAATTGATTTATTAATGATATTTCACCATTAATACCAATCCATATAGTGTAATCCAGAGTTTTGAGTAAAATGAATACTGTCCTGGGTTATAAAATATGTTTGAAGATTAGATTCCTATTACAGCCACATCTACAAAACTGGTAGAGATTTTGTCAGGCAAGAAAGCTGTCTTAGGCTGGGTTCTCTAGAGAAGCAAAACCAGTAAAGTGTATAAATATATATACAGAGAGAGATTATATCAAGAAACAGCTCATGCGATTGTAGAGGCTAGAATGTCCCAAGTCCGTGGATCAGGGTAGAGGCCTCTCACAAGTCACACAGCTGCAGAAGCTGGCAAGCCCAAGATCGGAAGGTCGGAGAGCAGGGGTCCCACTCACAGGCTGTGCAGATCAACGAATCCCAGGTTCGGCAGATAAGCTGACAGCTCAAGTCCCAAGAACGGGAGATGAGACGACAGGAAGCAGCCACAGGATCCAGAGAGAGCAAAAAGCCAGAACGTCTGCTTATATACAGTTGCGGGCCACATCCCCAAGGAGACTCCCTTTCATTTGATTGGCTATTCACAGTATATTCAATCATGGGAGTGATTACATTAAAACCCAGAGAATCATGGCCCAGCCAAGCTGACACACAATCTTAACCATCACAGAAGGATTCTACTTAGGAGAGGCAGGGAGGTGTGGAGGTCTTCAGAAAAACACTATAAGGTCAAAAGTTGTATATGTTATGAATATAATTTTTACTTTAATAGACATTTTACTTTTTCCTATTTTTCTTAAGTGTGGTTAAATTAATAACTTTTTCAAAATGAAAATTTATTTCAAAAATTAAACATCCACATTGTAGACCAATCAGAAAATAAACAAGCAAAATTAACATAAAACCAAAAACCCATTGCCATCATGTCAATTCCAACTCATAGTGACCCTACAGGACAGAGTAGAACTGCCCCATAGGGTTTCCAAGAGTGGCTGGTGGATTTGAACTGCCGATCTTTTGGTTAGCAGTTGCAGCTCTCAACCATGGGCAAACCCTCTAATATCCTTCCAGATAGGTGTTCATGTATGTTTGAGTGTTCTATGTATAATTTTTTTTGGAGCCCCGGTGGTGCAGTGGTTAAAAGCTATGGTCAAACCCAACCCATGTCCATCGAGTCAATTCCAACTCATAGTGACCCTACAGGACAGAGTAGAGCTGCCCCATAGAGTTTCCAAGGAGCAGCTGGTGGATTTCAACTGCCGACCTTTTGGTTAGCAACCAAACTCTTACCCACTAGGCTGCCAATCAAAAGGTCGGCAGTTCAAATCCACCAGCCACTCTTGGAAACCCTATGGGGCAGTTCTACTCTGTCCTATAGGGTTGCTATGAGTTGGAATCGACTCGACTAACAATGGGTTTGTTTTTTTTTGGTTTATGTATAATTTTTAAGAGGATCATGCCAACTATTTTGTTTGGTAACTTGCATTTTTATTTTATACATCAAGACTATCTTTGCATGTGCATAGATACATTTTAGCAACATTTTTAATGAACATATATTATTTCATTGTTTGGATCTTCAATGATACTAACCAATTCCTTTTTGACATTTGGGTTGTCTTTCTGCTATTAAAGCTTTGAACATTATCTCTGTGTACTTGTCTGATTATCTCTTCAAGATGAATTCATAAAAGTGGAATTGCTGGGTCAAAGAGGGTGCAAAAGCTTTTGAAGTTTTCAATACATATTGTCAACAGCCCTCCAGAAAGGCTGTTATCAATTATGACAGCAGCGTATCTGTCCTCGTATCTCCCTACTTTTAGGAACTTTTGAGTATTTTTTATAATTTCTGGCTAATTTGATAGGTGCTTTAGGGTAAAATAACCACAAAGTTGTAGTAAAGCAAAAAGAAAGGTTTTATTTGGCATATGTTCAAAGAGGCAAAAGTAGGAAACGGACAAGCATGCCACCAGAGCCATGCCTTCCTGAATCTGAGGAACGTTACAGAATGATCAGCATATACTAACATTACAAATGTGTAAAATAATTGAAAGCTTTACCTTCTCACAGATTGTCTAAAAACTGCCAAATCACTGTGACTCTACATTTTTAATTGTCTTTCTTAATAATCTATGGTACAGGTTTCAGAACAACAGTCAGGAGGGTCTTCACTGGTCCAGCAAATCTTGTTGTTAGGTGCCATTGAGTCAGTTCCGACTCATAGTGACCCTATGTACAACACAACCAAACACTGCCCCGTCCTGCACCATCCTCACAATCGTTGTTATGCTTGAGCCCACTGTTGCAGCCAATATGCCAATCCATCTCGTTGAGGGTCTTCCTCTTTTTCACTGACCTTCTGTTTTACCAAGCAAGATGTCCTTCTCCAGGGACTGGTCCCTCCTGATAACATGCCCCAAGTCTCACCACCCTTGCTTCTAATGAGCATTCTGACTGGACATCTTCCAACAAATCTTACTATTCACTAAATGCGAATAGGGAAAAATAGAATGGAAAGCATGCGGGTCTTTTGTGCTGTTTGTGGTTTATGTGAAAGGTTCCCTAAAAGATGTTTTCCAAGATTGTCCTAGATATTGTCTTTATACCTCAAGGCCCAGTTGATGTGTCTTTGTGAGTCCAGCTCCAGCTGGGTCACATTCTAGGACAGAGAATAATGGCTCCAACATTATCTCCTAAATCACAGAAAGGGGATAAAA